TAAAATGAACATATTACCTTAAAATCCTTTATTCTTTAGTATAATGACGTAAAAGATTCTTTACAATTTAAAAAAATTGTCAATTTTTTGTTGCTTCAGTATATTACTTCTCTTTGTTGATGCGATAGTCAGCCAACGCTTCAAAAGCAAAACATCTGCAGGGGTGGCTTCAGTTTGCTGTTCTACATATTTTAAGGCTAGTTCTAAGGCTGCAGAACCTTCACTATGAGATATTTTTTTTTCTGATAACGAAGAGTCGTTTATTTCTGTTTCATATTCTTCCTCATCTTCTGTCATTTCTATAATACTTGAGTCTGTTATTTCCAGCTTGTCGTCACTATTTAGCCATTCATTTAGATTAACTGCATTAGAGTTTTCGCAGCCTGGCAATTTCTTCATCAAATCTTTCAAAGCAATTGTTTCACTATCATCATCATTAATTTTCTCAATAGGCGTTACCAATTCAGGTAGAAACTTAGTCCACGATTTAATTACTGTCGTAGGTTGAACTTCTTCCCAAGAATCTGCTATCCAGTAGACAACATCTCTCAGACTTACATTCCTCAAAACATCCGCAACACTTTCATCATCAGACTGACCTTGTACATTGTACCTTGTACATGACCTTGTACCTACTAACTTGTAACATTGGCAGGAAAATATATAGCACGGATTTCACCACAACGTAGCTCATCATCGTCCGGATGAGATGGAGCGTTATCTAAAAACAAAATTGCTTTGCAAGTCAAATTTTTTTTTTCTCAATGCCTTCCGTGTTTCTGGAACAAAATGTTCTGAAACCCATTGTTTGAAAATTTCTCGATTCATCCATGCACTTTTCTGATTTGTGTAATGTACTGGTAAGGCTTCTTTAGTGATGTTTTTTAAGGCTCTAGGTTTGGCAGATTTGCCAATCACAGTCAGTTTCATTTTATGATTTCCAGATGCATTGGCGCATGCTAAAATGGTTAATCGTTCCTTCCGTTTTTTGTGACCTGGAGCTGAATTTTCCTCTTTTGAAGCAAGGGATTTTGAGGGCAACATCTTAATGTTCAAACCTGTTTCGTCACAGTTATATAACTGGTCAGGTGTGAGCTTTTCCGTCAATATAATGTCTTCAATCCGTTTTTGAAATGCCTGCACAGCTGACGTATCTGCAGAGAGTATTTCATTGCAAATATTTAGTTGACGTACACCATATCGTTTTTTCCAACGGTCTAACCAACCAACGCTTGCTGCGAAATCTTCTTCTCCTTCTTTGAACTGATTTCTGAAAAACACAGCTTTTTCCTGAAGAATAGGGCTACTTACAGGAGTACCTTTGCTACGCTTTTGGTTGCTAGGGGGAAAATTTGGCACCTCGAATTAAGCGGAACCTCGGACTTCTGAGACTCGAACTTTCGAGACTCTACTGTATATATATATATATATATATATATATATATATAATAACAGGGCTACATCCCTGCTATCATTGTGGTATTCAGCTTTAATAATGCAGTCAAAAGTCATAATACGTTATAAAAAGGTTTATTTAAAGGTAGGCTCGTCGTTATAACAGTTCACATCTCCACTCCACATGGAAGGGGTGTGTGGACAAAACTCCGGATGGTTCCGGCAGATGTTTATTGGAACACGTTATTCAGCAAGAGACATGAGAAAAACCTTCGGTCTCGCATTAAATACTTACAGATTTTGATGTAATTAGGTTCCAGTCATACTTACCTTTGTAACTCTACGCATTATGGGAAATCATTTACTGCTTCCTAATATGGAAGTGAAAGAGGAACAAGATTCTAAAAATAATTTCTCCTTCGAAATATAAATCTAATTATGATTCAATGGTATGTTTTCAGCCTTGAAGTCCCAAAATAGAATTTCTACGAGATTTTAAATTTCTTTAGATTGAAGTGTACTTCAGAAACGTAAATACATAATCTAAGTACGACAGTATACGATCTTAAGAAAAATGTGCTTAGAGCTCAAGGGCAGAATGTTTCAGCTTTACGCGATCACCTTTTTTTTCTGCAATTTCAAGCTATTGGAAATATCCTTTGAAAATAAAATGATGCATATATTTTTTATTTTACAATTCTAGTTTTAAAGAACAAATTTTCTATTATTATATATTTTTAAAGTTAAATTAAACCTTTCTTTATTCAGAACAGATAGAGGATGACTTCACAATGACTCTTCTTATGCCGAAAATTTTCTCTGATCCACGAAAGGTTAAAGGAATGTTTGAGCTTTTCAAACGGTAAGAATTTTGCTGTTCTTTGCTTGGCTTATTCAAACCAAACCAAAGAGACCACGCCCCACTTATTCAACAGCTGCCCTTCAGAGGCAACTATACAATCTAAGATGAGAGAGAAGCGATGACAGAGCAGCATAAGCCTTCTCATTTCCGTTAAAAATTGGGCTCTTAAGGTGACCTGCACTAAGTCTATAGATAGAGTGGTCTTAGCTAGTCTTGGACAGGAGCACTGCAAACACAGTCCAGGGGTGGGGTTCTCCAGTGATTAAAAAAATTTCAAAACTGATAATTTAAAAATCAATAGAGTTCAAGGCTATTGCGCGTAATAATTTGACTAAATTTGTTTAGTTACGAAAATTATGAAAGTGTCTTCGATAGAAAAAAACTTCTATTTATAGATGGATCTTCCAAAAAACTTAAACGCTGAGCGCCGATTGAAGTGTTGTATTTTTTATTTATAAATAATGGTTTTACGAAAGGCAATAACAGATTGGAGAGACCAAACTGGTAGATATTATTCGAATTATATTATTTTTCTTAAGAAATTTGCTTTAAATTTGATTCCTATAATATCAGAAATATTTTCAAAACTTTTCATTTTTAATTAGTTAATAAAGTTAGTAGTTAAAATTTATCAGATCAGTTACGGATTTTGACAGTTGAAGTTTTTTCAAAGCTGTTGCAAAGTCATGTCTCTTAATATTAATTTATTTTAATCAAATGTAAAGAATAAAAAAATACTTTGAAGTAGGAAAATTTCAATACTTCTTCAGTAACAAAATAAAAGGGATTGTAGTTTTATAAAACCACAGGAAACGTTTCTAAAACAAGCATGACCCCTTCATTTTCAACTTGTATTGTTCTATATATTTTACGTAATTTTAAGTTTTTGAGTTAAAGATTTTGCGCTGCAAAACAAATTGCTGTTTTGTGAGTTTATTCTTACATTGCGAAGACAAGTTTTTATTAAGGGGTTATAGTGTAGAGTGAAAATAACTAGAAATTTTGTAATTTAAAAGGAAAATACTTGTAGATGCGTGCTTATTTTCTTGACATGTTCTGTTCTAACTATTGAAGAAATCAAATTTTGCTGAACATGTGTAATATTGATTCATACATTAGATTTTTCTTAATAAGGTAATTGTATTTATTGGGTCAAAACAAAAAAAACTTTATTGTTAGGAGCTCCAAGAAATTGCCTTTTGAAACACCTAAGTTTTAAAATATTTCTCATGTTTCATTTTTTAAAAACTGAATTTATGAAATAAGTAAACTTTTTAAAAATATTACTCATTTTATTCAAATTAAACTTTAGGAGGGACAAGTACATACATATTCAAGATTTTTGGTGTGGTGTAAAGCTTACGTTGATAAAAAAACAAAATAGGTTGAAAGTAAATTTATTCCAGTTTAATCTTCTTACAAGATAAATATTTGACAAAACGGTAACAAATAATCAGAACAATAGTGAAATACTATGCATCTAAAATAACAAAAATCCAGTGAACAAATACGTACAAATAAAAACAAATTATCATTAATAACGTTTTTGCTTAAAATGAAGCTGTTAGGAAAAATAATAATTCAAAATATTAAAAATTTGATTTATCATTAAGGTGATTCTACTTAAAAGTGTTATTTGCTTACATATCGACAATTAAAAACGCATACAACTATTCAGATAACGAAACTTCGGATGCGAGTGAAAAAAATCTATTATCACAGAGCCTATCTATTATGTGATGCACTTATGTTCTACCTTGGATAGGTTCTCATTACTGCAATATTTATAAAGGCAATACCAGAAATATTAAATACCACATTTACTTAAGCAGTACTTGAGTTAATAATGCTGCTTTTTTTACGACTATCTTTATTAGTCTTAGCAATTATCGATATTAATCCGTAAAAAAAATTTGCGATATTATTATTGAAGTTAAATTGTTGTTTAATGTTCTAAGTACGACTTTCGTTATTAGTTTTAAAAATTATCGATATTAATCAGTAAAAAAAAATTGCCCTATTATTATTGACGTTGAATTGTTGTTTAATGTTTTAAGCACGACTTTCATTGTTAGTTTTAAAAATTATCGATATTAATCCGTAAAAAAAATTGCCATATTATTATTGACGTTGAATTGTTGTTTATGTTCTAAGTACGACTTTCGTTATTAGTTTTAAAAATTATCGATATTAATCCGTAAAAAAATTGCCATATTATTATTGACGTTGAATTGTTGTTTAATGTTCTAAGTCGACAATGAACTTTCTCGTGCTTGGAATTATCTGATTGCCAAATTTCATCGCTTTCATTCGGATTGTTTTTATCTCTCTCTCTTTGTATATATATATATTTGTCTGTATATATATACATTTGACTACTCTGCCGAACTACTCTGCCGTGAACTACTCTGCCGTGCAATAGAAAAATCAACGTAAGTCTCCTCCGAAATTATACATTACTTGATTAATGAGCGGTAAGTAGGATGTAGTTTTAAAAAAATCATTCTTAATTTTATTT